ACCATTGCACCATATTTTATGAACTCATAGTGAACTATCCCCTTGGGATCAAAACATATACCAGCATGGATTTAAACTGAGAATGAGCCATACGTGCTTTCTTTGGGCGAAGTGAAATCTTTGTTTTCCACTGCATGCTCTGGCATTTTGTTTCCGGATCATACTGGGAACACCATGTTTCATCACCAAAGATAACCCTATCAAACACTTCTGCATTCTTCAAAAGACTGGATGAAATTTGAAGATGACGTTCTTTCTGATCTTCTGTGAAGATTCGAGGGAACCATCTTTGTGGAAACTTGTCTCATTTTCAAATCCTCTGCTGGAATGTGCCGCACTATTTCCCTGTTCATGTTCAATTCTTCTGCCATCATTTACACACTTAGTCTTCCTTCTGAGATTAAAGAGTTCACATTCTGTCCACATTTGCATCTGTCCCTTGCATTTTTGGCTGCCCTCTTCTTGCGTCATTGTGGACATCTTCCCACCCCTCAAACCAAGATGCCGTTCAAAAACATGGAATTTCCTTTAAACCCATTGTAACACAGCTAAAGTTTCACTCATACTTTTGTCAATTCTCACGCAAAATTTGATTGTTAATCCACTGCTCCAGATTCCTGTCACTCATGTTCCACCAACATCGCAACCCACACATGTGTTATTTCTTCTACTATACCACAAATGGTCTGTGAACAAGGTGAATGCAAGTTAGAATGCTCGAGTGTGAATGGCTGCGTGATTCACCACCATAGTGCTACACCTCGTATGCTGTGGAAATGGGAACACATAACAAACATAATGGAGGGAAATGGTCTGTGACCAAGGTGAATGCAAGTTAGAACACTGACGTGTAAACGGCTGTGTGATTCACCACCATAGTGCTACACCTCGTATGCTGTGTGAATGGGCACACATAACAAACATATAGGAGGGAAATGGTCTGTGACCAAGGTGAATGCAAGTTAGAACATTCGAGTGCGAATGGCTGCGTGATTCACCACCATAGTGATACACCTCGTATGCTGTGTGAATGGGCACACATAACAAACATATAGGAGGGAAATGGTCTGTGACCAAGGTGAATCCAAGTTAGAACACTCAAGTGTGAATGGCTGTGTGATTCACCACCATAGTGCTACACCTCGTATGCTGTGGGAATGGGAACACATAACAAACATATAGGAGGGAAATTGTCTGTGACCAAGGTGAATACAAGTTAGAACACTCACGTGCAAATGGCTGTGTGATTCACGACCATAGTGCTACATCTCATATGCTGTGTGAATGGGAACACATAACAAACATATAGGAGGGAAATGGTCTGTGACCAAGGTGAATGCAAGTTAGAACACTGACGTGTAAACGGCTGTGTGATTCACCACCATAGTGCTACACCTCGTATGCTGTGTGAATGGGAACACATAACAAACATATAGGAGGGAAATGGTCTGTGACCAAGGTGAATGCAAGTTAGAACACTCGAGTGCGAATGGCTGCGTGATTCACCACCATAGTGCTACACCTCATATGCTGTGTGAATGGGAACACATAACAAACATACACAAGGGAAATACACTTGAAAGTTTGCACACGCTCCCCCCCCCCCCCCTCCCTTCCCGTGACAGCTGATGCATTTACAATAAAACCAAAGAGAGTGCACAGTAGACTCGTAATCCATATATATATATAGAGGTCAAAGGTCTGGGCAGGCTGTAGACAGGAGTAGCAGTACAGGCTGAGGGTCAAAGCTGGATTACAAAGAGAATGGAGCCAAGAGACAAGCTGAGGGACTTTGAAGTTATATCAACTAATCAGTTGTGCAGAGCTGTCAACAGGTGGTACATGAAAGCAGGAAGAAACAGTGCAGGAGCAGGGGAAGAAGTCACTCACTGTGTTGGATATAAACACCTGTCTATGATTTTGATACAAACATGCCATCTTCATTAAGCTTTGCATGGTGTTACTGCATACACTCCAGTCAAAATTGAAAATTAAAGTCCAATTTTAGTCAAAATCTTTTTTCTTTTTAATTTACTAACAGTCAATAAAAAGTGCTTGTGCTGCAGGTTGCAGTCCCCTGTCCTCTGAAATCCCATTTCCTCTGAACTCAGCCCCCCCTACATCCGCAGTCATAATCATCCACTGCTGCAAGGATTAATACAAGCGCTGGACCTGTCATCAACAGTGTCAAGTATGCTTGCCCTTTCCTCCATTGTAAGAAACTCTACTTTAGCTTCTATGAATGAAAAGCAATTTATGACTGGATAATAGGTGGATGAATGAAAGGTTCACCTCTTCCATTCAAAGAAGCTTCACAAAAGCTTCCATGAATGAAAAGTGATCCTTGAATGGAGAATGGGGGAATAAATGAATCTACCTCCTCCAATCATAGTATTTTTCAATGCAGGAAGCAATAGTACAGGTTCTACGAATGGAGGAGGAGAGCAGAAAGGACAGGCATATTTGGCTCTCTTGACAAGTGCCTGTCACAGAAGATTAGGAGATTGATTCAGAAAAGACACAAAACGTATTATAATCCTAATAGAATATGTGATAAATAAATACATATGCTAAATAAATAATTATTAGTTTGGTAGATCAGAAATCAGTATAACTGTAAGCCATTACCTGAGATCTTTATCTTGCATCCAAATAACATTTTAAAGTAGTACTATAGGCAAAATCTTTCTTCCATTTTGGATAGAGTAAAGGAGGGTTATAACCCCTGTCAGATTTATTTCTGCCATCTGTGTCCAATTGCGGAGATTTCCCTTCACTTTTTGTTTCCTAGCCCAACAGAAAGTGAGAGGAAATCTCTACAAATTATCGGACTCCCAGGTCACCAAAACTAGTGTCCCCATTGGAAGATTTGCCCTCTATTACTTTTCCGAGGACAACCCGAAATTTGGGAATAGGTCCTCTAATCCCTCTGCACTCTATCCAAAATCCAAAAAAAGTTTTTTTGCCTTTAGTTACACTTTAAGCCTTTTCTGCGCCGACAGTAGCAAATATACGGCCTCTCCGTGGGTGGACATTGATGCCAAGAGGCAGCATATTTGCATACCCAAATGTAAACAAATGTGCCAAAAATGCGTGCAGTGCATGTTCCCAGCACAGTTACTGTTGCCTGAGACAGCCAATCACAGTGATCACATGATCTAAAACCAGCCATTAAGGGGTTAAGTAAAGCCAACAAAAAAAAAAACATTAAAGTGATTCAGTAGAGCAAAATAACAAAGTAAATATCAAAATTTAACTTTTGATGTAAAAAAGTCCTTGATAATTCCACAAACTCTTCAAATTCTTCAAGAAACTGCACCACGTGTGCAGAATAAATGTAGTGTCCTCCCTTTCGGGTGTGAACTCACCAGACAAAAATGCCCCCATTCTCATGGTTGGCTAAGTCGCTTAAATATGACAATCACCATCTCCAATACACCAAGATCTCTATTCATGATACACAGGGATATACATTCCATGGGTTGGTTGGTAGTAGGTATAAAGGCATTGAAAATGATGTACAGCCACCCTTCTTCCTCCTCTGTAATCACCTCTCAAATGGTCATGTAAGGGATAAAACACAAAAGAGAACCCCAATGGTGCACAACAAAATACCTCCTTTATTGGCCCAAATAGACAGCCACTTACAAGCAATAAATGAGATTCAAGCTAAAAAATGTTGCAGATAGTGAAACCAAGCAAAACATGCTATGTGGGTTCCTGCAGTCCTCTCACCACCACCAAGTGCCACAAAATGGTGCCAATAGTGTTACTTCCCGTTACCGCACATTCCCTCTGACGTGTTTCGTCATATCCGACTTCCTCATAGGATTCAGTCTTATCAGACTTTGCACCTCTATACAGAGGCTGACTGACAACTCATGGGGCCCCCGGGCAATAGGGGATCATGGGGCCCCTGTGTCCTTGCCCAAACTCAAAAAAGCCTATGAAAAAGGTACCAGGGGCATCTCATGGGGCCCCCTACTGACCCCGGGTCAGTGCCCGAGTTTCCAAATGGTCAGTCCGCCCCTGCCTCTATAGCAACTGCTAGATGTTATTATCTCTTCTTAATATTACAAAACATGACAAATTGTGATAAATAAAAAAAAGATAGGGTCTCAGGTCAAGATCAAACTCAAAAAAGCCTATGAAAAAGGTACCAGGGGCATCTCATGGGGCCCCCTACTGACCCCGGGTCAGTGCCCGAGTTTCCAAATGGTCAGTCCGCCCCTGCCTCTATAGCAACTGCTAGATGTTATTATCTCTTCTTAATATTACAAAACATGACAAATTGTGATAAATAAAAAAAAGATAGGGTCTCAGGTCAAGATCAAAGTCGACTATAAATTGGAGGTTCATTTAAAGTAGAACTAATGGCAAAACGTCTGTTTTTTCATTTTGAATAGAGTAAGGGAGGATTACAACTCCTGTCTTTTTTTTTTACTATATGTGCCCCATTGGGACATGGATCACATAGCCAAAACAGGAAATAAGAAATTCCTCCAAAGTGGAGGAATCCCTGGTTATCACCAGGGTCACCAAAACTAGTGTGGCCCATTGGAAACCTCCCCTCTATCACTATTCTGGGAACAACACAAAATTCGGGACTTTCAGTAATAATGGTAAACAGGAAAAATAGGGTAAGGACCCATGTACACGGAACACTTCTGAGTGATGGAAACTGACTGCTGGAAAACGTAGGTTAAAAAACCTCTGTTTAGCTGCGTTTGCATACTGCGTTTTTGTGCGTTTATGTGTGTTTGCGTTTAGATACATTTTTTAAAGATAAGCACAGGAGAACCTCCCAAATGCACTGGAAAGTGATAAATTAATAACCATTTCAGACTGTTTCAGGGAAATACAGAGAGTAGAAGCAGAGAGAGCAGTATGTGTTGAGATTAGCTTAGGAGCGCGTTGCTCATTAACATTTCTTTTGTTTCCAAGGGTGGGAAAGGTGTCTGGTGGAGTGAGTCATTAAGGCCGCCTGGCAGGGGGGGTCTTCATGAGGAATTTGAGGTCTGAATGGTCATTAACATATCTTTTGTTTCCAAGGGTGGGAGAGGTCTAAGGTGTGAACTGGTCATTACAATGTGTGACAAGCTTGGTAGGAACATCCTGTGTTCAGTGTTTTGTCCATTTGAGTACCTTGAAAACGATTTCCATGCGCTTTTCATGATAAAAAAAAGGATCTGGACAGCATCTGGAAATGGAACAGTTAAAAACGGAAACGCTTAGAAATGTGGTTAGCCGCATATACACACGTTTACAAGCGTTTTGCATTTGAAACGCTGATAAAATCTACTGTTGAATGCAAGTTTGGTGCATTCAAAAAAAACGACTGTAAACTAAACTGCCTGTATACAACTGTAAATGATGATGTGTACATGGACACATAGGAAAACATTAGCGTGAGTTCAGGGGCTGCTGAACAGCTCCTAAACGTGAGTTTATCAGCTGCAGTGTACATGAGCCCTAAATCTCCCGAACAGGGCACAGATGGCAGTACACATCTTACAGGTGTACTAATCCCTCTTCCCTCTATCCAAAAAAACCCAAGTTTTTTGCCCTTAGGTTTCTTTAACCACTTGCACTCCGGAGGATTTACCCCCACCCCTTCCTGACCAGGCCATTTTTTCGATATGGTGCTGCGTTACTTTAACTGACAATTGCATGGTCATGCTACACCCAAATGAAATTTGCATCCTTTTTTTCCCCACGAATAGAGCTTTCTTTCAGTGGTATTTGATCGCCTTTGCGTTTTGAATTGTTTGTGCTATAAACAAAAAAAACCCGACAATTTTGCTATTAAACATATCCAGTAAAATAATTAACAAATCTAATTTTGTCATAAATTTAGGCCAAAATGTATTCTGCTACATGTCTTTGCTGAAATAAAAAAAAATCCCAATACATGTAAATTAATTGGTTTGCATGAAAGTTATAGCATTTACAAGTGGCGGTATATATACTGGAATTGTTTTTTTTTTTCCACTAGTAAGGGCGGCGATCAGCAACTTATAGCGGGACTTCAGGACTGCGGCAGGCATTCTGACACTGGGGGGAGCTGATTTGGTGTCACTGACATTCCCAGTGACACCAATACAGTGATCAGTGCTAATAAGAAGCCCTGACACTGTACTAATGAAACTGGGCAGGAATGGGTTAAAATGTGGGCCAATCAAAGGGTTAATTGTGTGCTGTTTCACAGTGTGCTGTGTGAGTGCTTTCCACTGCAAGGAGCTGACTGGGGAGAGATCTGTGTTGTTTATACACAGGTCCCTCCCTCGTTGGAAATACTCTGTGATCACTGTGTGCCGGAGAGAAATCACCGGCCGGGACCCGGTGATTGACTGCTGAGACCACGAATGGCGGTGTGGGTAGGGCGCACGCACCCCATACCGAAAACTGCAAAATCACGTATATATACGTGATTTTGCACACCCGTACCACCCTGTAGCAGTATTTCTGCTGCTCTAGGGTGGCGCGGAAGCGGTTAAGGTTTATGCCAAAACTCCCCATCAGTAAACTGTTTGCTGTGTTGTTGGGGTGTGGCAGCACCCAAATATTGCAGCATTCCCCTTTAATCTCTTAAGGTTTTTAAAGCATCTGTTTGCAGAACCAAGCCATCAGCTCGCTTTCTCCCCCTCATTTCCTGTGAAACAATATGTTATAGCTTAGCAGATGCAATGTCTGTGAAACCGCAAAGGCTGAACTGCTTAGAATGTATGTTAAAAGGTACAAAGAGTAAAAGAGAAAAAAATATTTGCATTGTGACATAATTGTTGGTATGCACCATGTAAGATGTTTTTCAAACACTTAGCTTTCAGAAACTAGTCTGACTAAGTCCCAGCTGGTAAAATAAAAGTTTGTTTTCCTCAAGTTCGTGTCCGGAGTTTTACCTATTATTCCCAAAGTTGCTATTACAGGGGTAATTCACTTGCTGTCTTGGAGAAGCAACAGGAAGTGAGAGGAAACCTCATCTTAAGACAGCTGTCTCTGTAAGAAGTACCCCCATTAGTAGATTGCCTCTAACCTTTGTTCTGGTAACAATTTTAAAATTTGGAGTTTTTCCATCACCTTCTACACCTTCTGACAATGCCACACATAGAGGGACAGAGCAGTAAATTTAACATTAATCCTTTCCTACCCTGTCCAAAAAAAAAATAGTTTTGCCTATACATAGCTTTTGTGGTTGGAAACTTTCATTAGTTTGATTTGCTATTAATGTTTTTGGTGGGTAAAAATAAATTATAATTCACGGGAGAAAATATTACCCTATAGAACAGCGGAGTCTGTATAGCCATATGCAATATTCTGTATAGTCATATTACCAACAAAGTCATTATATTATTACGTTACAGTTTCCCACTATAGAAAATGTATCAAAATAAATGTATATTTTTATATTATGCCATTCATGCATGTGGTAAAACTAAGTAAATGTTGGTAGTCTATATTCTTTACTGCCTTAATATAAATATCAGACTTAAATATTTATATCCAGTTTTAAAAATAGCACATTTGGATTAACATAATATTACCTTATCATTTTAAGCTTCAGTATTCCCACATGACACATTTAGCAGTAAAATAAAATCTAAATATGACATCAATGAAACGGAGAATGTAGTAGCATTGCAAGGGAAGATTGCTAAGGGCAAAATATATTTGATTGATGCCTGCTTGGTGGGGTTTTTTTTTTTTTACTAATCCAGGCCAAAATTGTGTGATTGTACTGCCATCTACTGGCTACTTGGCACAATAACAGGCTAAAAGGTTTCTCTTCTTGATAATGTACATTGCAGGCATTCCAGCTGAGTTAACCACTTGCTCTCTAGTGGAGTTACCCCCCTTCCTGACCAGGACATTTTTTGTGATATGGTGCTGTGTTAATTTAACTGACAATTGCGCAGTCATGCAATGCTGCACCCAAATTAAATTTACATCCTTTTTTCCCCACAAATAGAGCTTTCTTTTCTGTGGCATTTGATCGCTGCCACAGTGCCTGTGTTTTCTTATTTTTTTGCGCTATAAACAAAAAAAGACTGAAAAGTTTGAAAAAAAAAACAATATTTTTGGCTTTTTGCTATAGAACATATCCAGTAAAAAAAACATCTTTTTATTTTGAATAGGGTCATCAAATGTTTTCATAAATTTAGGCCAAAATGTATTCTGCTACATGTCTTTCCAAAGAAAAAAAATCCCACTACGTGTAAATTAATTGGTTTATTTTTATTTATTTACTTTTTTTTTATACTAGTAATGGCGGCAATCAGCGGCTTATAGTGGGACTGCAGGACTGCGGCGGGCATTCTGACACTGGCTGGGAACTGACTAACTGCCACTGACATACCAATGACACTAATACAGTTATCAGTGCTAATAAAAATCACTGACACTGTACTAATGACACTGGGCAGGAAGGGGTTAACATCTGGGGCGATCAAAGGCTGTGCTGTTTTACTGTGTGTGCTCTGTGTGTTTTACTAAGGAGACATGCTGCTGTGTATTTCTCAGCACAGCAGCATGTTATTGCTGGTAGGAGAGAGACCTGTGTTTTTACACACAGGCCTCTCCCCTGTTAGTGGTACTTAGCAATCACCAAGTGCCAGCAGAGAATCTGCGGCGGGGACCTGGTGATTGACATCCATAGCTGCCAATGGCGGCTCGGATAGGGTGGCACACATGCCCTTACTCAGAAATGTAAATCACATATATATACATGACTTTGCACAGTCTTGCCACCCTGTAGTAGTATTTCTGCTATAGGGCATTAAAAAGGTTAAGAGATCACTAGCCTAAAGTATGTAGAAAAAGGACACATTCTGCCATGCTCCTAGTTCTATAGCACAGAAAACATGAATAAACAAACACTAGTGCTTGCTTTCACCACTACTTTGCCTTTATTCTAGCTTGCAAAATTAAAAATAAAACAATAATTTGTTGGCTGGACAGAAGACTTAAGGCTTATACACACTTGCCTATATTAATTCAGCAAAACCGTTGCAATTTACACTGGAATACATCAGGAAATTAATTATTTTTATAATTTTAAATACAAAAGTACAATAACTTGTCACACTGCAAGGCAGGAGTATTACATTTACTGGCTTTGGGCTTTACATCCTAAAAGTAAAAAAAAGTTAAAAAAAAAAAATTTGCATAGCATGCTGGGATTTCTAATAAGAAAGCCCAGCACTATCTTTATCCTCATATTCTGTTTTAATCCACCTATTAAAGGAAACCTATACTGTGAGAACTATGGATGCTGACATTGCCAATTAGTTTTTATAAAGGCACAAGCTCTGTGCCTATCATTAGGATAGTTGCTTTAATTCCTAGTTAGTTACTGAAGTTTGAATTTCTTTTCTAAATGTTGTTCCGAGGTCAGGGACTGACTGCGTGGTTAAGCATGGATCAAGATGACAAATTTAAATCAGAAACAGCCTCCATGTCTCACTTATAACAGGCTTTCTTTAAGACATTGACATCTCCGCTAGCAGAGGAAAGAAATGTGTCTATCTTCTGGTCTGCTCCAGTCTATGCTTTGGACTGCAGCAGCCTTCGAGGAAGAACATTCTCAAAGCATACATTGCCACCTGGTGGCTGCATACTGTAAATATGAAATATTCATATGTCGTGTTTCACATTTAACCGATTAAAAATAAATACAAAATATATACTTGTATTACAAAGAAACAGTAAATATGTTTAAAAGAGAGGTTTGAGGGAAAACAAATTATATTCACCTAGGTGGATGCAGCAACAGTCAGATGCTGCATCTGTTCCACACCACTTCTAAGACCAAGAACTGAGTAATCAAAGATGGTCAGTCACTGGCTCTCTGCTTTGGCCATGGGAAAGGAAGTAAAGGGAAATCTGCCCAATGGGATACAGATGGCAATTATTATTATTATTATTATACAGTATTTATAAAGCGCCAATAGTTCGCTCAGCGCTGTACATTACAAAAAGGGGACAGAACATGTGACAGAACAATACCAATACAATGCAAAACATGAGGGGATCGAGGGCCCTGCTCTTTCGAGCTTACAATCTAGGAGGGAGGGGGTGGTGGCACAGGAGGAGATAGCTGTGGGGGATGGAGTGGTAGGAAGAGTGGAGGAGGTCGGCAAGTTAGCAGGGGGTGGGGTAGGCTTCCCTGAAGAGATGGGTTTTCAGGGTGCACCTAAAGGAGAGGAGAGTAGGTGATAATTGATGGGTTGGGGCAGGGAGTTCCAGAGGATGGGTGACACCCTGGAGAAGTCCTGGAGGCGGGCATGGGAGGAGGAGACCAGGGAACTAGAGAGAAGGAGGTCTTGTGAGGAGCGGAGCGTGCTGGGCGGTGGATATTAGGTCAGTGATGTAGTTCGGGGCAGTATGGTGGACAGCTTTGTACGTCAGCGTTAGGATTTTGAATTTGATCCGTTGCGCAATCGGAAGCCAGTGGAGGGATTGGCAGAGGGGGGTGGCGGAGACAGAGCGGTTGGAAAGGTGAATGAGTCTGGCTGCCGTATTCAGGATCGACTGAAGCGGGGATAGCCAGCGGCGAGGCAGGCCAGTGAGGAGGGAGTTGCAGTAGTCGAGTCGTGATATGATGAGGGAGTGGATGAGCTGTTTAGTGGTTTCTGGGGTTAGGAACGTGCGGATTTGGCGATGTTGCGGAGGTGGAGTCTGCACGAGTTTGTTAAAGATTGGACTTGGGGCTGGAAGGATAGGTTGGAGTCCAGAATGACACCCAGTACTCTGGCCTGCAGGGCGGGTTTGATGGTAGCGTTGTTGGACGTGACGGAGAAATCAATGGGGGGTGGTGTCCGGGCTGGGGGGAAGACAAGAAACTCGGTTTTGGAGAGGTTCAATTTAAGGAAGTGGAGCGACATCCAGTCTGTTATGTCGTTCAGTAGGTGTGTGATTCGGGCTGAGACCAAGGGGGTGAGGTGGGGGGTTGAGAGATAGATTTGTGTGTCGTCGGCATAGAGGTGGTAGTTGAAGCCGTGAGAGTGTATGAGTTGGCCAAGGGAGGAGGTATAGATGGAGAAGAGAAGGGGCCCGAGGACAGAGCCTTGAGGGACCCCAACAGAGAGGGGGAGGTGGTAGCATTATAGGTAACGCTGAAGGAGCGTTGTGACAGGTAGGATGAGAGCCAGGAGAGAGCAGAATCTCTGCAATAAAAGCAATTATCCCTCCATTACTCTATTCAAAATAAAAAGATGTTTTCTTTAGTTCTACTTTAGGCTAACTTGCATCACCACTTTCTTCATGACATAAACAGGGCCGTGCTTGCGGAGAACACAGGCACAACACTTAAAGATGCAAGGCAAACAAGGCTTTTGCCTTGGGTGGAATTTTTTCAGGGGGGCAATGCCACCCCCAGGCAGAAGGGCAGAGCCGGCTCTTTAATTATGCCTTGTGACCACCTCTACTCCTAAATAGTCAAGGTCTCAGGGCAGGGTGAGGAGAAGCAGGATGCCGGAAGCCCCATGGAAGGAATCACAAACACACACCGGGCAGGGTAATGGAGGAGGCAGGCCAGTGTCTCTGGTCTGGTGGGGATGTGAACAGCACACAGTGAGAGCTTTAGCACTGCTCCTGCTTATGTCATCCTGATTTCACAGCAAGCAAGCTATCTTACCCACTCTGTGCCTTCCCAGAGTGCTGATTCCCTGCTGCACATGCAGACATGAGTTAGGATCTGGCAAGGATTCAAGCTAGCTGGGGATCGCTCACCCTGGGTCACCCCTGGCTCACCCTGGCGATTCCATATGCTCCCCCAGTTGGAGAAGCCGAAGAAGACTGGGGTGAGTGCTGCAACCTCCTATCTCCCTGAAAGAGTGCCTTGCACAAAGTTCAAACCCCCTTCTACCCTCCGGACACTTTGCTGAGAACTCCCTCTACCCCCCTCAGGGTAGCAGTGGTAAGGGAGCTGAGACACAGACATCAGCCTGGGATGGAGTGGGGAGAAGAGGAAAGCCAGCCATACTAGCAATTCATTGACAGAAGAGTGTGTATAGTGTAAACGAGAGAGACACAGAGAGAGATACACGTGTGTATAGTGGGGAAAGAGGCCTGCTGACCCCATCCTATGTCCTGCTGATCTCATCCTCTGCCCCATTGACCACATGCTCTGCCCTACTGACCCAGAGAGAGATAGAAGTGTGTATAGTGTACAGAAGGGAAAGAGGCCTGCTGATCTGTCCTATGCCCTGCTGACCTCATCCTCTGCCCCATTGACCACATGGTTTTCCCCTACTGACCCTGTCCTCTGCCCTGCTCACCCCATCCTGTGCCCTGCTGACTCCATCCCCTCCCCCACTGACCCCATGTTCTGCCCTACTGACCCCTGTCCTATACCCTGCTGACCCTATCCTTTGCGCTGTCGACCATGTCCTTTGTCCCGCTGACCCCATCCTCTGCCCCATTAACCACATATGTGGCACTTGGAGGAATCATGTGTCAGGGTCTGATGAGGAAACTGCAGCTGTTCACTGTGAATGGTTGCAGCTTCCTCATCAGACCTTGAGACAAGAACAGTATACCATGGCTGGGGTGGGACAAATTTAGATGGGGGGTGCCCGATTTCAGTCTTGCCTAGGGCAGCACAAAACCAAAATACACCACTGCATAAAGCATGATAGGACTTTGAATTCCCATATTAGAGGCGGAGGAAGTGACTTAGTGGTCAATTCACTACAGGTTACCGCATGCGATAACACGGTCACGTGACTCATTTGCATAAATTATCACATTTGGTAACCAAATGTCCAATTCACTAAAAAAAAAACATTCTGCGGTATTTAACACAAAATTAAGAATATTAAGGTAAATACCAAAAAAAAAACATGCGGTAAGCTGTTAAGTCCAATTTGCAAACACAACAGAAAGTAAGAAAAGATGTAATATTTATCACCAGGGTTTTGCTGGTGGTATCGCATCATATTTTTTCATATGCAGCAAGGGGGTTCCCCCCAACCCCTAGGGGTCTGGTATGGATATTAAAGGGAACCCTACGCACAAAATAAAAAAAAAAATGGCATGGAGTTCCTCCCAGATCCATACCAGACGCAAAATCCCTTAGGATTGTGAGGAGACCCGCACGCCATTAATTTATTTTTTTACATTTTGGTGTGGATTGGGGAAGGGGGGGGGGCGATACTGTTTTTTTCATCATTTGTATTTGCTGGCATGTTTTGAGTGCTGATGAGTCATCCGTTAAGGAAGCCACTGCTGGCTCCTTTAACAATCAGCTACTGTACGATAAATTACTGCATGAAAATATAAGTTAATTGCCGCAATACAGATATTTTACTGCAAGAGTTATTTACCGCAGAATTCTTGCACATCTGCAAATAATTTATCACATGCGTTATTTTACCAAATTCTTTTCAGTCCTTATTTAACCACTTCCTGTCCGCCCTATAGAAGAAATACTGGGCGGCACAGGTGCGCAAAATCACGTGTATATATACATGATTTTGCATTTACGGGTAGGGGGGCGCACACACGCGCCCTACCCGCGCCACCATTTGCGGGCACGGCTGTCAATCACTGCGTCCCAGCTGGTGATTATTCGCCGGCGCCTGGTGATTGCCAAGGATCTCCGACAGGGAGAACTGTTTTTTAAACCGTTTTCCCTGTCAGCTCGTGCACACTGCTTTGCAGTGTGCTTACAGTGAAGACAAACACAAGGTCCTATAGTAAAACACACCCAGCACACAGTTAACCCTTTGATCGCCCCTCATGTTAACCCCTTCCTGCCCAGTGCCATTATTACGATGTCAGTGTTTTTTTTTTTTAGCACTGATCACTGTAATGGTGTTACTGGGGATGTCAGAGACACCAAGTCAGTTCCCTCCAGTATCAGAATGCCTGCTGCAGTCCCGCTATAAGTCGCTGATTGCCACCATTACTTGTAAAAATTAAAAAAAAAATTAAACATTCCAGTATATATTGCCATTTGTACATGCTATAACTTTCACAATAACCAATTAATTTACACGTATTGGGATTTTTTTTTTTAGCTAAGACATGTAACAGAATACATTTTGGCCTAAATTTATGATGAAATTTGATTTTTTTTACTGGACATGTTTAATAACAAACAGTCAAAAATATTGTTTTTTTTCTCAAAAGTGCCATTTTTTTTATAGCGCAAAAAAAAAAAAATGCACAGGCGATCAAATACCAACAAAAGAAAGCTCAATTCGTGGGAAAAAAGGACATAAATTTCATTTGGGTGCAGCGTTGCATGATCGTGGAACTGTCAATTAAAGTAACGCAGCGCCGTAACGCAACAAATGGCCTGGTCAGGAAGGGGGGGTAAATCCTCAGAAGGGCAAGTAGTTAACTCTTGGTGAATTGACCCCATATTCTCATACATAAACGATACAAGGGATAAGGAACCTCTTAACTAATATTGGACTGTTTGCAATATAGCAGATTTTAGTCTTGATTTAAAAGTTTAGCAGCAATAAAGAATGCCACATATGAATTATGTTCCTATAAGGTCAACTATTTAAAATGGAAATATATCAATCATTGAGCAAATTGATGGATTTACCACCTATTAGTTTCTTAAGTCTTTTAACTACTAGATTGTTGAGATTTCGTAACAAAGTTGAAAGAATTGCCACCATCTTTGCCATAGTCTCATACCTTATGATCCATTCCACTTTTATGCAAAAAAAGAGCAAGAGAAAGAACCGTTTCAAATAGTTATAGCAGAGGGACAGGGCTGCAGAGATCTCACCACTGGCATGCCAAAATGAATTTAAAAAATGGAAATATAGATGCTTTTTGTGGACTTTCAAATGACTGTGGTTGTAATATTTCCTTGCTTTTATACTCATCTCCAATTTTCGCCTTAATAAAATAGTTACCAATGTCTACCACTGACATGTTCCATGGCAGCAAAAATTAAAATTAGAATCAAAGATTTTATTTTGTAAAAGAAACCAAAGGAACTACATCACTCAAAGGACTGCTAAGTATTTCAACATTCCGCACAGTACAAACAAGAAATCTATGTGTGTGAGTGTACAGCTATTTTCACAGCTTCTGGAGGGAGCAGACATTTCCAAATGCCTCGTCAGATAAATGAGCTTATTTCCAGAGGTAAATGCACATTATGAAGCTCAATTTTGAGAGAATACCACTGAGATAAGAGAAGATAATGGTGTAGCCTGAGGAGATGCCAGGTGTAATGCAAGTACGCAGTCTATTACAAGGTGGTTAATAGGCTCAACACGTCACAATGAAAAGTTCACTACTGGCAGACTTTGCTTTTCTAAACTGAGTTATCCACATTATATGCTCATCTGTAAAACAGACAAGGACAACACCCAATATACATTTCTAGAATCAAAGATGCACATCTGCAACAAACCAGGCAACTTGATCTTGTAACAGCACTGTGGGCACAGCAAAACAATGGTGCCACACTATGGGGTTGATGTACTAAACAGCTTAGTGAATGGGGTAAAACTGCTGACTTCCATCATTCAATCATGGGCAAGCAAAAAGTATGTTCTTTTTTTAATTTTCCTTTCACATGATTGGGTATTATTTGCAAAGTGAAACCACATCCACTAAGCTCTGGGGCAAATTCCCTTGCAAACTGCTATTTCTCTTACAAAGTGAATAGACTATTTATCTTTAATAAATCAACCTGTGGGTGGGTGCAGTGTGGTGAGGCAACAGTAAATACATTGAATCCAGTTGCAAATAACTTGTATTGAAGTAATGGCTCAAAGATACAACAGCCCAGTGGAAAGTCACCCCTCTGGGAACACTCAGTTCTGTATAGTAGTGTAGAGCAAAGCGGGTTCTGATGCGCCGACAGCGTCTGTTTCTGAGGGTGAAATGCAGCCTGGCTGGTCTGTGTCCTTTCCTTACTGGATTCCTGGAAAGGATAATATATGCATATCCTGTCTTTACTCGTCTGGAACCTTCCCCTAGCGATATTCACTTTCCCTGATAGACAGGTAACCTGTCCCAACACTGTCCACTTGTAAAATGCACGGCAAGCCTGGGAGCCAGGGTCTTAAATATTATTATTATTATTATACAGTATTTATATAGCGCCAAAAGGTTTGCTCAGCGCTGTATATTAAAGTGGGGGACAGTACATGAGACAATTCAGTAACAATACAATACACAAGGGGTTCGAGGGCCCTGCTCTTTCAAGCTTACAATCTAGGAATAGACTCTGTCTGACCCAAGATGGCCACCAGGGTCACAGGGGGTGGCAGCATCCAACTGGATCGCTCCCCCGGAGGCCCTGGAAACCACAGAGAAGTATGTTCCTCCTGACTTTCTCTCCCTCTGCAATGCCACTGTGGTTTGAACACCACCAGCAGTGGAGAAAAGAGACTGCACATGCCTACAAACCTCTTGCATATTTATGTCATAATCATATTACTCTTTTGCTGCATTCACTAACACTGGCTTAAAGCAGAACTTCACTGCTGATTCTCCTCCTCCCCTCCTCCTCTGTCATGTTTGGCATATATATTTTCTGTAGGGGAGCAGGTTTTGACAGGTACCCGTCCCACTCCCGGTCAGATCAGCTACACGATCCAAACGGAAGTTCTCCTCCCCTGCCACCCTCAGTCTTCTATGACATGTCAGCTCCGGATGGTTCATGGCAAAAGAACAGAGAGTGAGAGCGACAAACTGTTCTTGGTGGTTCATGAGTTTCTTCACAGAAAGGGTTATACCTACATTCAAGTTCTGGTGCTGTAGGGTTTGAAGCGTAGTAAACTGCAAATAAGAAAAATGACTTGCCTCAAAATGAAGCCCTCCAGCGGTGCACTGTCACCGCTGACAGGGCTTCCATCCTCACCTGGTCTTCCTTCCGGGTTCATGAGCTCCGGCCGTCTGACTGGCCGAGTCACGATGACGTCACTCCTGTGCATGCGCACGGGCATTTCGGAACATGGCACAGTAATTTGAAGGAATGACATACCTGTGCCATTCCTTCAGAGTGCATGTGCCAGCTAAAAAAAAAAGAAGGAATATCTCCTAAACGGTGCACATTTAGGAGATATTAAATTTACCTACAGGTAAGATTTATTATAAACTTACCTGTAGGTAAAGGATACAAAAGTGAGTTTACTTCTGCTTTAATACAGCTGCTGGACATGTTGTAGACACTCATCAAGAGTGCCAACTATGCCTACCCTTTCTACCCTCATTGACTCATAGAAGCTGAACTATAGCTTCCAGCATCAAAAAAATGCTTTATAATTGTAGGATGAGTGGATGAATTGTTCATCTCCTCCATTCGCCATTCAATGGCTGCATTGACTTATCAGCTCCAGAAGATTACCACTGTGAGAGCTAATTCACACATATACGGTGAGGATTGAAGCTCAGGTTTCACAGCTAATTGATACAGAAATTGTTCACAGGTTCATGTCAGGTTTACATCAGGTTCAAGACAGGATTAGCTCAGGATCTTATCCTTTTCACACATATGCAGTTTAGAAACAGTTCCAATAGAAGTCAATAGCATGTAATATGCACAAGAACCTGAAGCCACTGCTCAGAAATCGGACATGACTCTTTTTAAAACCGCACTGAATCTGCACTGGCCATGCGCCAGACATACTGTATGTGAACAGGCACCATAAGAAGCAATGGTATTTCACATGTCATACGGATTGGATGTGGTTCAAACCGCATCCAATCCGCATATAGGTGAACGGGCACTAACCCTAGGTTCACACCTAAGCGTTTTGTGTTTTGCAGAAATGCAGTACAGTTAATTTAACATGATTTCCTATGGGACATGTTCACACCTGTGTGTTTTAACACTGTGAGTTTTTGGAAAGGGTCAGGGACTTTTTTTGAACGCAAAACGTTGCATTTTTGGTTCTATAAACTTCAATGGAAATGCTGCAGAAAAGCATGTATTATGTTTTTGCTCCTTTTTTGCCACATTTTGATACATTTTGCATTTAAAATCTACCTAGCACCAAGAAAAATTAAAAAAATTAACACCCCCCGAAAAACGCATCAAAAACGCAAGTGCAAAAATGCAAAACGCAATGCAGTAACGCACAAAACACAACCTGCATAGGTGTGAACCTAGAGTAAAGGGTTTTGGAGTGGGACAGAGAATGTAAGATTTTAACTAAGACAGCAGCACAGCACAAGTGACACTTCTCATTCAATGTAGGTTCCTTATGCTGATTTAAAAAAATAACTAAACATAGACTTTAATATGTAAATAGAGCATATTGAGTTTTCTTTTTAAAGCTACACCTGCAAATGAAAAAACACACATATAACTACTTATCTTTTTAGACATGTACATAACTACTTCTAGTGCATTAAAATGCAAGGTAAGTATTGTGCCTTCCTGTCTTTGGTATATGACAGCTCTGTAAGCATCTAAGTGACAATCATGCCACAGACTTTGGACATGGATAGACATTGAGCACATAAACGTTTGTTCACTTCCTTAAACTGAACCTCTCCAAAACCGAGTTTCTTGTCTTCCCCCCAGCCCGGACACCGCCCCCCATTGACTTCTCCATCACATCCAACAACACCACCATCAAACCCGCCCCGCAAGCCAGAGTACTTGGTGTCATTCTGGACTCCAACCTATCCTTCCAGCCCCAAGTCC